GTGTCAGTTACTTTCTCTAGGAAATTTCTACTTTCTAAGTTACATTTTTCAGTATTATTTTATAAATTACTTTAGCTTATTATTTTTAAGTGATTTGCATGATTTCAGCTACAGTATATTTCAGTCAAATTTCCTTATCTTTCTTTGTCTCTTCTTTCTTTTGATTGAAAGTAAATTACCTGCACAGAATTTGACCTTCACTCTTATCCCTTAAAATAGTTTCTTTCGAAGATTTGGAGCTATTTTGAATCAGTTATAAGAACTTTGAGTTATATCCTGATTTGTTCAGTCTGTTTGCCCTGATATTTTCAACTCCAACCTCTTGACTCCATATGAGGGTAAAGAAATGGTTCTTTCATGTGAGTTAACTCTAAATGAAAAGAAATGTGATTCTCCATCTCCGTACACGGTATAAAAGTACTCTATTGTCACAGACTCAGGCACTGATCTGAGACAGACTGAGAAGTATAGGTTATAAGTCTTCCAAAGCACATTCTTTGTAATAAGTGTTCTAGTTCGGGGAGCCTTTTCAAGTGACAGCCATCCTTGCAGAGGTTTAAACAAAGCCTTAGAGTGAAGGCAAACAGTTTCCCAAGATTTTACACTGCTGTGTTTTTCAGTCTATAGTAGTTTTTCCTTTACTGCTTATTCAGCATTTTAAGCTAATTTAGGTCCTCTACAAGTCTCATGTAATTCCCTTCCTTGAATTCAACTCTAACCTGATGCTTCTTTCTATTCATGGGAATGGGTATTTATTCTAAAAATAGCATTCTTTCCGTTTTGATATCTACTATTCTGTATGTTCAGTGCTTTCCATGAGAAATGACATACCATTTTTCCTTATACTGTGTCACCCAAAGTAAAAATGTCCGGTGGCAGCATGTGACTTAGTATTTAACAGTCAACTGACTCATAAAGAAATCTGCTATGAAACCTTAATTATTCACCATCCTGAAACTCATTCTGGGATTGTGGCATTATATTCTCATTGTGAGTATTAATAGTGTCCCTGCCTGACTTATGATGTATATTTCACTCTTATGTGCACTCACAAGATCAGTTCTAATCACTAGGACAATTTCAGTTGGGGAGCAATCTGGTAATTTTTTTTTTTTTTTTTATTAAGGAGTGATGTATTTAAGAAATTTACTTCTGCTAAGGATAGGAACTAGATCTTGTATTACTTCCTGTCTGTCTTATAGTTTCGTTCATCAGAGATGCTCAATAAATATTGGATTGTTTAACATATGGTATATAAGCAGAGTCAGGTGGTTTGCTTTGAGCTAGTAATGTGGGATTTAGGAAAAGCAAAAGGAAAGCATGTCTCTGTACTCTTAGAGAAGTAAATGGCTCTTAATTTTGATAAACATACTTGATTTTGTGCCACATGATATTGGAATTAAGTATAAAAGAAGATTTAATTAAATCATGTCCTTCAGGAAATGACCAAGTTAAACAGGGCCTTGTTTTTATGAAAGTCCAGTCATATATACAGAAGATATCAGGATGTAGCACTTTTCTCCATGGAGTTATTAATGGAATGGTGTAGTTAATCATATCAGAGTATAGGACAGGTTGCCTTACAATCGTACATCTCTTAGCAGTGTTTCCAGTAACGATCTAAGAGGAGACAAGTTTAAATAACGTGATCACTGCACTCAAAAGATCACTCTAGTAAACCACCCTCTTCCTCTTCCTCCATCACTGTAGCCACAAATACTATTTATTGAATATCTATTATATGCTAAGCAATAAATAATAGAAGAAAAATAAAAATTCTTCACATATATTATCTGACTTAATCCCTAAAACAACTTCGAAGTAGGCACTAGAACCACCATTTTACAGCAAAGAAACTGAGATTTGGAGAGTGTACATGGGCTGTTTTTGTCAGTAAGTGGAAGAACTGGGATTTACACCCAGGTCTGCCTAACTCCAGTGTTCTTATTCTTCAGTCTTACGTACTTCTGCATGTTTTTGCTTCTGTATACCATTGCCATTATCTCACAGAAACAGGCTTTAGTGTTTATTTCTAAAACTTTATGGCTTTTATGACTTCTCATACATGATTTCAATTTATGATCCATATTGTATTCGAGTTCATGTAGTAACTATGATGTGCCAGATGTCAGATTTTTTTTGTTGTTGTTCTTTTGTCTGCCAGGCCTCCAATCTAGGATCAGTACTGTTTAGCATTTTACAGGGTAAGGAACTTGAGTAGGTACAAGTTAACAGACCAAATAAATGAGATTTTGCACCTTAATTCATCACAAGACTGAGAAAATGGGATGATTCTAAGTTGGCTGCTTGTATACTACAGTAGATATATTGTGTTGGTGCAAAAGTAATCATGGTTTTTGCCACTGAAAGTAGTGGGTGAAACCACAACTGTTTTTGCACCAACCTAATATTAAGATGCTATGAAAAGTTTAGAAAAGTCTAGGGCAGACTTTTCACTTCCTTGTAATATTCTAGGATACCTCTGTCAAATACAGAGCGCCTCATTATGTTAACCACAGAAAAAAAGCTTTCTGAAATACAAACCTGCCTGCCTGTTGCTGCATCAACATTGGCTTAGGAGGCAAAGCATAAGAATAATTTGAAATTATATTTTGTCATACTTTCAATGTCAGTATTTGCAGAGGAAATAATATTTTCCTAAAGACTAATCCTTCTTTGTAGGACCAGGGCAGATGTCGTTGTTCGAAGTTAATAGCCAGTCAAATGTGTGAGCTAGTGAATATGCACTGAGCCCTTGGTGCTGTTTACTGGAACCAGCAAAGGTAGAGACACTGGGATAAGGACAAACGGTAGACAGTTGCCGCGTAACTCCTCCACAGAAAATCTTCTACCTCCCCTAAGGCAAAACCACCCCTGCCACTGAATTCAGCTCTCTGGATACCACTAATTTGAGAGTTACAAGTGGAAAGCCTTGAATTTTATTCCCATTTCTGCCAGTAACTTAAGTGACTATCCCAGGCAAATGAGTTCTCCTTTCTTATGTTCAGAGGAAGAGATCTAATGTTTGCTGAGGGCCCATTTTCTAGGTGCTTGCCCTTTGGGTTATCTCAGATAATCCTCACAAAAACTCTGTGAGTTTACACACAAGCTGCTTGAAATTTTGCAAAATTAGATAACTTTCCCAAGATCATGGGCCAAGAAACAGGATTTGGAACTAGTCACTAGTGTGAGTGATGCAGAGTTCATGCTCCCCAACCCTTCTAATGACAGATGGAGAAAGGTATGGCAGTAATATTTGACAAACATAATTCAATTGTTTTTTATGCATGGTAACAGTACCGCGTTTATGTTTTGAAGAAGTTCTTATGTTTTTGAGATACAAATTTAAGTATTTACAGATCAGAAGATATGGATTTGCCTTTCAAAACTGACAGGGTACTGTGGGGACAGGTGGGTAGTAGATGGGGGTATGGGTGAAGTAAGACGGACCAGATGATAGTATTGTTGAGGCTGGGTGATAGTACGGGCACGTCAGTCTTTATTATATCAGTCTCTGTATTCTTGTAAATGTTTGAAGTTTAAAAAAAAGTTGAAAAGTAATCAATGACATGAAGATATATTGGTAAAAGTTATGAAGTGACACGGACAAAACCAAAGTTTTAAACTACATAAAGTGGTCAGGTGAGGTGGCTCACGCCTGTAATCCCAGCATTTTGGGAGGCTGAGGCAGGCAGATCACTAAAGGTATGGAGTTCAAGACCAGCCTGGCCAACATGGTGAAACCCTGTCTCTACTAAAAATACAAAATTAGCTGGGTGTGGTGGCACATGCTTGTAATCCCAGCCACTTGGGAGGCTGAGGTGGGAGGACTGCTTGAACCTGGGAGGTGGCAGTTGCAGTGAGCTGAGATCGTACCACTGCACTCTAGCCTGTCTGATAGAATGAGACTCCATCTCAAAAAACAAAAACCTACATAAAGCAAAACTGATAAAAATAAAAATGCAAGGAGAAATTGATATAACCACAATTGTAATGAGAAATTAAGACTTTTATCAGCAGTCAATTATCAAATACAGATAGTAAAGATAATAAAACTCCAATTTTACAGTTAGCACTTATTTCACACTCATACACATACATGTATGTTTGCATCCAATAGAGAATGTATATTCTTTTCAAACACTTGAGAAACACCCTCCAAAGTTGGCCACATGTTAGATTACATTATAAGCTCAGATACCATTGGGCTCTTTTACAATCAGGACATACTCACATGATACTTATACAATCAAAAATGTATTTAAAAAAGAAACATTTATACTTTCTTAGCTTGTCATAGACTTTTAAAACATATCTCATTTCATTTTCATATAAAACAAAGAAACTGGTATTAAAGCGAGGCTAGAGAGGTTCAGTCATTTATCCGAGGTTACTGAGATGACAATGGCAGTCGGAACTTGAACTCAGTTCTGCTGAATCCCAGAGCCTGGTTAACTTTTCCTACACATGCTGCCTCATAAAATTCTTGATTACGAATATTCAAGATCATCAGAGCCTTACTTTTGATTTCTTCTCCAAGAACAACAATATTAAAAATCAATAGTTAGATTTTGGTAGAAAATGGGTATAGAATATTCTTAAAAGGACCAAATTTTTATCTGAATGTGTCCTCCTGACAGTTTTACTGAAAATCATTCCTGTCTTAAGGCCTATTCATTTTATTTCTAGGAATTTTTGCAAGTACTGTGCTTAGTGTTTTACACGACACAGCTGTTGAAATTTCTGGGGTTTGATTTTACCAGACAACAGAGTTACTTCACTATATCTAATTCAGGCATGAAATAAATGTTAAGGATTCTTTCAGGCTAGTAGCATTTATTTGGCATACCCCCAGATATTGCCTGCATGGCTTAGAGGACAGGTGCACTTTGCTGAATACTCACCAGACACCAGGAACACTGCTTCACTTGGAGAGGCTAGGTCTGTTAGAGGACAACTTGAACAATTCTCTTTATGCAAATGCAAAGGACTTCACTCACCCGATTCGTATTTTCAGCATGCCACTGAATAACTCAGGGTTATTGGAGATGATCCAGCCAATATGGATGACCAGTTCTTGCTGAATGACCGCTTCCCTCTCATCATGGGTGTTACACTTATAATAGATGATGTTTTTAATCACTCTTGGAGACAAAGGATTAGAGATAACTTCTTCTTCATGCCCAAAGGCACCCAGAGTTACCTACGAGTGACAGAATTTTATTGTAAAATTCTCCTAGCTACTAAAAGATAAAAATAAAAAAAACTCAAGGCTCAGGATGACTGGCAGGCTGAAATTACTCTATATAAGCTAGGGAATTAGGCAGAATAACTGTTCCTGCTGTTTATTAAAATGGCTTTCAAAGCGTGACTCCCACTGGAAATCATGATGGTTCACAGTCTAGTCTCAAATATAAGGGCAGGTGAGGGTTCCAGTTAGGGGAGTGGAGGTGAGTGGATAAAAGCAGGGAAGGAATATAAATAACTAATAAGTTAAAATTATTCTGAATGACTTTAGCACTAGAAACTCCCCAGAGAAACCAGAATAGGTTAAAGAGTTTCACTTTACTGCACAGTCTACACAATTTGGTATTTGAGAGATATACTTTTTGATTCTTTTATAGTTTCTCAGGCAGCTTCTTTGGCCTCAACAACACTGTAACGCTTCAAAGGCAGGTGTGATGCCACCCAGTTCCTGTGTAGCCCTCATTTTTCCGGGCATAATGCAAGGTGCCTGGTGAGGGTTAAAATATGTGGTGACAGATCTCTCACCTGTGGAGGGGAAGGAACAGGCTGTTCACAGCCTGGGACACCAGAGAGCACAGAGCGAAATGGCCAAAAAAAAACTCTGAGCAGAATGCTGCTGAAGCTGGCAAGGGGAATAGGCTAGTCTCTCTCTCTCCTCTATCCCTGGCATTCTGCTCCCAGGGGACTCCGCAGGCCACCCTTCTCCCTGAGTACCCCTTCCCATCTCTTTTCCATGTACAGTGTACCATCATAAAAGGCAGGAAAAAACAATAGCATATCAAAGGCCACAGAGATGAGGGAAGAGAGCAGAACATGGAGTCTATTGCCTCAATTTTATAATGGAGTGAAAACTGTGAACTGCTGGTTTATTATATCACAAGTGGCATGAACCAGTTAGTCTGAGTGTGAATACTTTCCTTAAAATGTCAGTGTGTAAAGAAGAAAACAAACAGAAGGCACATCATTGCCTCTGGAAGCAATGATGACTAAGCCATGATTTCATTCCACAGAGCTTGAGGTGATCTGAATGTGCTTGGTAGAAACAATATTACTTCAGTGCTTAGGGCACTCAGAAAAATTCTGAATGCTCTGTTCTTACTTCTTTATTGTAAAGAAGTAAGGTGCGGTCAGAGAATGGACTTCATGCCTCTGGTAATGAAGCTGAGCTACTGGCCTCCAAGTCTTGCCCAGCTCTGTAAGTGATTTACCCTGGGAGACATACTAGTGTGATGAGCAATGGTCCAGGCACAACCTTAGGGCAGGATGTGGGAGCAGAATCTCAGGACCACAGGCTACAAGCTCCCTTTAGATATTGTGTAGTTGGACAGGACCAACCCTAACCCACCCTTTCTCCCAGTGTCAGGTGCCGATGACCTTGAATATCTCCAAAAGTTTCTGAATGTTCATATGCAGAGTTAACTATCTTTTCAGGTATGCTACAAGGATCTAAAATCCAAGGAAAAATATCTTCTCAAAGCCTGTTTAACTTTCTTTCAGAGGTGGCTTGGTTCAGGGCAAAAATATGAGACTCTCGCTGGAGGCAAGAATTCTGGTGAGAAAAGGCACTAGATAAGTTACTTCCTGTATTTTGGTCTGTTTTAGCCAACAAACAGGGATAAAAAAATCTACCTCTCAACAATTTGGAAAAAATAACATATATGAAGTGATTTAACTTTTTCTTAGGATTTTTTGTATTTTTTCTTTTTAATTTTTTTAAACGACAGGGTATTGCTCTGTTGCCCAGGCTGGAGTGCAATGGAATGATCACGGCTCACTACAGCCTCAAACTCTTGGCTCAAGTAATCCTCCTACCTCAGCTTCCCAAGGCACTGAGACCAAAGGCATGTGCCATTAGGCCCAGCCATTTTTTTTTTTTTTTTTGCAGAGATAGGGTCTTGCTATGTGCTCAGGCTGGTCTTGAATTCCTGGCCTCAAGTGATCCTCCCACCTTGGCCCCCAAAGTGTTTGGATTACAGGTGTCAGCCACCATGCCCAGCAGGAATCTTTTATTAGTACAATTATTTTTAATTATTAAATATTACATGAAACAATAAATAGCTTATTATTCTAACATTTCAAAAGCTAAATATAAGGATGAATAATTTTAATCTTAATGAATTAAGAGCCCTGAAATATGACCAATGGGTTGATTCCACTGAAGAGCGTTAAAGTACTTCATATTACTAAAGCTTATTATATCCCCAGATTAACTCTCAGGAAAACACAATAAAGCACATATATTCACAGAGAAGAGACGGAGAGTAAGTGAACAGGTTTTCATTCTAATCAAAGGATGATTCAGCCAGGTAAATTAGAGCTTATAGAAAACAAAACAGAAAATGAGCAGCCACACCCCACATGCACAGGCTCAATTCAACCCACATTCACCAAGTGCTTTTTCCAAGCAAGGCCCCATGCTGGGCACACTGGGATGTGTACTGGACAAGACTCAGACTCTGACCCCTGGGGGCTCACAGCCTACCATGAGGTGAGAGACACACATTCAAATGAACTGGGACCCAGGGCAGATTGTGGGAATTGTCACAGACCTATTGTGAGAATCCAGAGAGAGAGACCACTGCTAACTGGAGATGGCTCCGTGAGGAGGAGGTGACAGAGCTGGCCCTGGCGAATGGGGAGGAGCTGGGGTTAGAGATGGCCTGGGGCAGGGGATCTGGGGAGCAGCACTGGCATGCAGAGACCCTGGCTGGGCATGAACACCATGCTTTCTAAGGAGGGAGATCTTATGTGGAGCGGAAGGGAATATGTGCCCTTCGCTGTTCACCTACCTCTGCTCTGCCTATCCGAAACCTGTCTGGAGTACTTTAGTAGTTATTGGTCCATTTTCTACATTAGCATCTGCATTGATCTCAACACAGGAGTTGAAGATTACAGCTCTAAGGTGCAGCAGGAAAAGGGGAAGGCCCATTTAATATCTTTCTGACTAGATTTTGCTTGGGGAAGGAGACTTTCGTAGCAATACTTGAGCCCTTATAAATCTGAAAGTGAGAGGCCTATGACACTGAGGCTTGCCAGACTTAAAAGTAAGGGTCCTAGCCAGAAATCTTTGCCACTGGGACCAAATAAGTGTCTGAAAAGCAAATACTTACCTGTTTGCCCTGCACTAAAACATTAGTAATGGATGGGGCCAGGCTGTCCACTACTTTACTTAAAAGACTTGCTGCACGGCGTACAACCGACCTGGGGGCAAAGAAGAGAGCAGGCCAGATGTTCACAAATCTAAAATATGAGGAATGCATCGGGCCCTGACTGGGTAATCTTTAAAATATACATGGTTGAATCCTCACATCATCATTTGGAGGAAACACTGCCCAGGACATTGAACCTAACAGCTGAAATTTCTCAGACTGCAGGACAATTCAGAATTAGGGAGGGATCCCTCCACCTCATCCCTGCCACCAAGCTGTGACAAAAATATTACTGATGACACTATCGATTTAAAAAGCAAAAAAAGAAAACCTAGTTATTATTTTGATTAGGGAGGGAGGGTGTATAGGAGGAATTAAGAGGATATTCTGATTTTGCATTAACAAGTTCATTACTAAATCTGTCACTAGTACATGTGACCTATTTCTATAACCATTCTAAGTCATGTTTCTTTTGGTGCCTAGATAACCAAATCTCTGGATTAGAGGATTCACTTAGTACTGAATTTTAGAAAGTGCTACAATGAAATACCAGTATTTCTTTTTCATGATAAAGTCATAATGTTGGGGGAAGAAATTCACACTGCTATTTTTATATTACTGAAAAAGTCTTAGAACCTAGGGAGAACAGATTTTTTTTTTTTTAAAGTACAGCACATGCAATACATCAGATAATTTTTTTCCCTCAAAAGTAAAAATTCACATGGAACTTTTAGATAGAAAAAGTAAAATAAAAATGTAGGTTTGAAACTGGCTGCAATCTTTAGGTATTTCAGGATATCCACAGAAGCTGACTTATAAAAAACATTTATATTTCTTAATTTCAACATAGATGACTAAAAGAAAATTCAGTCAATAACTAATAAAGTTAGTGAAACAAACACTTCCTACTTCTAGAGAAGCTTTCACCCACACACTCTAAGACCAAAAGACGTGTTTAACCTTCAGAGTGCAAATAAGCCCACACATTTCAAGCAGCTTGGGTTTTCAAATTCTGTGCATGTTACCTGTTTCCCATGTACCAGAAAAGTAGTAATGTGTGGGGCTATAGAGGAAGAAAATTTCTGGGTAAATGCAGCCCCGTAGCGCACCGCCAACCTGGGTGTGTCAGTGGAAAGTCATAAAAGGGAAAATAGAGTAAATACAACTTCCAGTTCTTCCAAACATAACAGTCAGTATTCTAAATGTTTGCTAGCTAATGATTTATCTGAAATGCATAAAGTGTAATACATAAAGCAAGAACAGATGTGCTTAATCAAAAATAAGACTATAGACCACACTTGAAACTTACTGGCTAAGAAAGTTTACCAGAACTATCACTTATTGGCTTGATGTCTTACTGTACTAAGAATTTACAGTGAAAATTTGAAAGATTTAACTATAGGATTATTACATTATTTCTTCTGAGGAGGAATGGTACATTTATGATAAAAATATAATTGAAATATTCTAAGAGATTGTTTCGTCTAATCCTCTTATTTTAGGGATTAGAAACCTGAGGCTCATTGAGGTTAAGGGAGTTTCTTATGACATTCTTGAGACTTTTTTTTTTTTTTAAGTGGATAACGTATCATTAAAAAATGTGTGCGTGTGTATATATATCTATACATACACTTTGACTTTCAATATTTGTTAGATTCAGCTAGTAAAACATTTCTGTAGAATTACATCAAAATGCAGAGGGCCATGCATTTAGGCATTCCTACTCAATTGTGAATTTAAACAACTTTATTTATTTAAACTTTCCTACTTCTTTTTTTTTCAGTCTCTGGGAAGAGACTACCCCTGTAGAACAAATTGGTTATTTTTCATGAAGCAACTACAATCACTGGGATTCATTCAACTTAAGTGACAAGAGAATAGCCTTCTCAGTATATTATTTTTGCTTATGATTAGATAAATCACTGGTCTCTTTTCATGGCCTTCTATAATAGCAGAACAGATTGCCTAAATTAAAAAACAGAACTTAAAGCACCTTGCTGGGGCAGAGAAGGTGTAGAGTAGGAAAGAATTCTTAGCATATCATTTCAGTGAATACTCTTCAGGTTCAATCCCTACAGTGTCTTTGTTTTCAGAATTTTGGTGGAGGAGGTGCGGGGAGAGACATGCTACATAAGCACATTCTTAGGAAGTGCTGTAACCTTGGAGGTTCAAAGTAAAAATTAGGATGAATAACCATCTTTAAGACTGGTCCATTTTCTTTAGGCTATCGAATATGACAACACAAAAATAAAACGTAACAACAAGGACACTAATACAAACCAAAGTTTTTTGCTGCCAGCTCTTCTATAGATTCTCTCAATGTGATCAGAAACGGTACCTAGACATTGGATAATAGAGTCTTTGTTGAACAAAACTTTTAATTAAATGCATCACATTTATTCCTCTTAAAAGTACTCAAATTTTCACTGTGCTTCACTAGAGTTGATACATCGATTCATTAATGTTCTGAACTGACATATTTAAATATGTAACTCAAATATATAGAGTGTGACTATCTCCAGCACTTGATACTATTTAGTCTGAGTATATAATTTTGGTACTTTATTTCTTGAAATTCAACTATTTTCCTAATTAATATGCAATCTAAACTTTTAACAATACAAATGCTATTTTAATTTACTGCAGAAAAGAGGAAAAGAGAATATAGTAAAATAATTAGCAATTGAACAAATACTGTAGACTCTAATATATATGACTTTTCATTTATTTGTTCAATAAAACTTTACTGAGGCCTTGTTATGTACATGGGGCTATGATCATTCCAACATATGCTACTGCTCAAAAGACACCAGTGGGTTTCATAATTTGGCCACGATTTTGTCCGTAAAATCACAATGTGACAGGAAAGAGCACCAAAAAGAAAACAAAGATAAAGAACAAGATCTTTAACATTTCACTCTAAACTTTTTATAGTCTTTTAACAAATTAGATAAAATTATATTCGGATTCTGTAGATGCATATGATTTTCAATGTTTCACATAAGGTTTTATAGATTTAAAACATTTAATGAATATTATTCTCAAGTTTATAAAAATGGTTTAAAAAGTCATTCCCTTAGCATTTTCATTATAAACTATTTTATATAAATTTTCTTTTATTTAAAAGCACTAAAACTTTTCAATTAAAAAAACAGCCATTCTGAATTCTAGGTTTCTAATGAAATGTTTGATTTTTAAAAATCCTATTGTTTTAGATAAAGTGCAAATTTCAGTGAATATCCTAAATACAACTGAGATTCTGCTTATACTTACAGTTTTAAGACTAATTAGAAATATACAAGATTCTGTTTGAAATTTGCTAAAAGTTCCTCTGCCTTTAACAAGCTAAGAAATGGAAAACGATTCAATTCACATGTATAATACTCAAGAAGGTTATCTCTTAGCTATAATAAGGCAAAAACTAAGTAGATCTCATTTGAATAAATAACTATGCTCGGTTAATTACCAGAACTATATGAATTATTAATTCCACTGCTGTTTTTCAGTTCTAACCATATCAACACACACCTCTTAACAGAGTACTTTCAAATAAGCCAAAGATTTTTGAATAGCTAGACATTAAGTACTCGAACTGTATTCTGCATTATTCTGTATTACAAAATGTCAGAAGTGGACCATGGTGGAGAACTTAAAGATTCCTTACAGTGGTGACTCCACATGCAAGTGTGAATCTGGGGGATAACTGGGTTTCATCCTTAATGCAGAGTGGACATAGATATAATTACAAATGATTTATTTTTATTAACCATCTTCCGAGCACAATTCTATTAAATGCCATGTTCCATTCCAAATGGCTGCTGCAGATCATGAGGGAGCTAATTTTTTTTTTTTTTTTTGAGACGGAGTCTCACTCTGTCACCCAGGCTGGAGTGCAGTGGCGCTATCTTGAGGGAGCTAATTTTTATAGACATAACAATTCGATGTTATTCTTGAAAAATTAGAGAAGATAAAACTGGAAATAGAAACTGTCAATAAATAACTATGGAATTCATCAGAGGTTAACAATCACAGGTACAATCCAAGCTCCAATACTTTTCAGACAATCAGAGAAACAATCAAGCATCACTGCATGAAAGCCAGTTAGGGGTTCATACATCAGTCTCCTCCACTTTAGGGGGTATGAATGAACATTTTCCATTCAAAAGTGAAAAAGAAGGTTTAATGAAGGGGGAAATAACTTGCAACATTTTAGTGGATAGCTTATGCATATTTGATATATGTTCAAGGCTACAGCGGTCCTCTTATTTAAAATGTTCTCTTAGACATGCACTCTTACCTTCCTTTGTGATGAAGTTGGGGCCTTCTCTTTTGAGCAGTATACCCAACAGGATGGCTTGGCTAGCCAGACAACTGCAATCCTGAAAATATAAATCACGGTGAGGAACTGAAATGAAATGGGTACAGGAGTTACCACAGAGGGTAACTAATCACAAAACCACATGATGCAGAGAAGAAATACTTTACTATGAACTGAGGAAAGATAAACTATCATTGATACAATATAAAGCATAAGATGACATTATACAGCGATTCATACTTACCTTAGATATCTTAGAGATAGAGGGTAGACAAGTGACAAGCTGGATTCCTGGGGTGGTAGGATTTAATAATTAAATTTGCCAGAAAACAAGATAAGTAATGAACAGAAAATATTTTATCTACAAGCAATAATACTGATTTTGCCACTCTCTGAGAGACTTGGCGAGGTCATTTAACCACTCCCTTCTTGATTCTTCTTATTGGTAAATGGGAGACCATGTTGCTAGCAAACTGTTGTGAAGAGATAGATGATAGGAGGGGACTTGTTTACGAGTGTTTATTACATATTAGGTCACTGTGCTATGTGCTTTATGCCATATTATATCTTATTCATGCTTATTTGGATCTATACAATATCCATCAACAAGAATTGGTCACATCTGGAAGGATATATATTTGGTCTACATGCTCAAATTTGTATGCCCCAAACAAAACGTCACAGTGTTTATTGCTCTACTGGGAGAATTTCGTTTCCTTGAATCAGTACTACACCCTATCCACCCTTACTCTTCTGAAACGTAAGTAACCTTAGGAAAGATAAATATTCATTTGCTAAAATATTTGTATGAATGCAGTGAAAGGACTGCTTTACTCAGTGACAGGACTGACCTAAAGCAAGCATTACACCTAAACACTGGGGCAGGAGACAAGATGGGGGCAGAAAGGAAGAAAGAAGGCTCTGAAAGAGAAATCTGGAGAATCCACAGGCAACTATCATTGACTTCTTTAATGGCTCATACCATACTTGTGTATCCAAGACAAACATATTCACCTGCAATTCTTAAGCATTTTTAAAGATATCTATGCAGATGTTAGACCAAGAGAACAACTTCTCATGATTGCCCTGGGTGTAGACAAGTCATCCACCTCCAGATTAATTGCTACCTTCACTGAGAGGACAAAAAGACATATGGTCTGACTCTGGGAGCCTCTGCCCCAGCAACCGAGGGCCATGTGGGAACTGCATCTGTCTCACATTCAGTTTTTGAAGAATTTCGTGGGTGGGTTTGTCCTTCCATTCACTAATGTTGACATCCGGCTGCTGTCCCAGTTCAGGAGCACTAGGGGTGCTGCTTTGACGTTTGACTTTTGAATGTTTGGGAGGTTCTAGTTCCTCAAAACTCTTAAATTCTGGAAGCCTAGAAAGTAAAAGAAAAGGTTTCATATTTTCTACTTTTCTAATGTAATTTCAAAAAACCCAAAATGAAATAACCCAAAGGGACTTACTCTTCTGTGTCACTGATTCGTAGGAAATCAAGTTGTTCTACTACAGCTCCAGATATTAGGGTCTGAAACGTGATCAAAAAAGGATTAGAAACTCTTAGATACATCAAGCTATACTCTTATGGCCTGTGTGCATACCCTTCTGTAATTAAGTAATACTTCAAAAAATTGCGTAAAAATATATACAGTTCTGAAGTAATTCTTAAATGAACATTCGAAAATCATACAGGTTTCTACACATACACACACACACACACACACACACACACACACACACACCCCTTAAATAGAATATACACATCAAGTTACAAGTTTATGAGTCATTATAAATAGGTCAACATGAGATGAACTCTCTGTTCTTAGAATTGCAGGCATTTACTTTTAAGCTGGAATTAAAATAATTCAGTAACCATTAAAATGCTAAAAAAAATTACATTTCTGACTGGGGGGTAGTGGTTCATGCCTGTAATCCCAGCACTTTGTGGGGCCAAGGCGGGCGGATCATGAGGTCAAGAGATCAAGACCATCCTGGCCATCCTGGTGAAACCCCAACTCTACTAAAAATACAAAAATCAGCTCGGCGTGGTGGCACGTGCCTGTAGTCCCAACTACTTGGGAGGCTGAGGCAGGAGAATCACTTGAACACAGAAGGTGGAGGTTGTGGTGAGCCAAGATCGCACCACTGTACTCTGGCCTGGCGGAGCGAGACTCCGTCTCAAAAAATAAATAAAGTAAAATAAAATATCCAAATTAGAAAACACATAAAATACTAAAATTGTTTTGGGAAAAGATGTGAAATTGCACTTTGGATTCTGCTACTGTAATGTATTTCTGGGTCATCCAATGATAGGATACCGACAAGACTCCCATTTTTTTCAGGAACATGAAGGTATTGGTTATCCAGGCCAATGCTTCTCTACATTCTGGCGTATGGCTACCCATATTTGGTCATTTTATTTTCCATTAGTTTCTGATTATAGGCTGAACAAACTAAATGAGTCTGAACTGAAACATTGTTTGTGTTTGTCAGTGGTTCACGGTGAACAGTATGAACAGTATAAATGAATGATAAACCTACAATGATTTTTAACATTATGTGTCACTTCTAATTATCTGATGAACTGTCAGAGAAAATTGAGAAATGTGCTCATAAAAAACAAGGCATAAATTATTACTTAAAAATAAGGCAATATTTATTACATATTTATACAATATTTATAACATATATTATTTTCTCTATTTTCTCACTGTTCATCTCAAATGTGAAGAAACAGGACACTGGGAATGTTGCTTTTGTTGGCTAACTACCCAGAGCAGTAGTGCCTTCTCCTCTAGTGGAAACTCATAAACAAAGTAGATCAACAAATGTCCATTTACAGATGACAGGATGGACATATTAATAGCAATCATAATAAAGTTTCCTTGAGTTTGAGTGAGAAAGGTCAACTATGCAGTTGATCTGCACATTTTTACTAGCCTGGCTATAGTCAGGTCACTCTGGAACAGTAAGTTCCCTAAGAGCAGGGTCTGTGCCTAGGCAGGTTCATCGAATGATATTTCCTAATATGTAGGCTAGCATGTATACATCTTGCTATTCAGTTAAATAATTTGTTAGACAAATATTTATTGAAGGCCTACTAGGTACTATGTTAGATATTGAGGATACAGCATGAACAAAATACATAACATTCTTGCCTTCTTGAAACTGTTCTTAAAGGTATGTGTAGCGGATAGACAATAAAAAAGCTATATACACACACACACACAGTCATGCATCGCTTAATGACCAAGATACATTCTGAGAAATGCATCATTAGGCAATCTTGTTGTTGTGTGAACACCCATAGAGTGCACTTACACAAACTGTGGTATAGCCTACTAAGCACTAAGCTATATGGCACAGCCTATTGCTCTTAGGCTACAAACATGTACTGAATACTGTAGGCAACTGTAATATGATGGTAAGTATTTGTGTATCTAAAGATAGAAAAGGTACAGTAAAAATACAGTATTAAAATCTTACGAGACCTCCACTGTATACATGGTCCATCATTGACTAAAATGTTGTTATGTGGCATATGACTCTACGTATATAATAATTATAATATATATTATTACTACATATATGTATTTATTATGTCAGATGGTGATAAGTGCAAAGTGGAAATAAGAAAGGTAGGGGATGGGGAGTATCAGGGCAGGGGAGTAGGATGAGGGTTGTTGGCTATTTCATATAGGTGATCAGAAAGGATTTCTCTAATAAAGTAACATGTAATCAGAAACTGAAGAAAGGACTATAGTCAATGATATGGATCTGAGGGAAGAGTGTATGGGGCTGGGAGTGGTAAGTGCAAAGGTCCTGAGGCAGGAGCATGCTTAGTGTCTTTGTGAGCAGTAAGGAGGAAAATGTGGTTGAAATAGAGTAGATGGGGCAGCTGGTAGGAAATGAAATAAGAGATGTAGGTCCAGACCATGGAGAGCACATAGACCATTTGAAGAACAGTGGTTTCCAGTTTCTGTGAGAGAGGAAATCATTGGAGGCTTATGATATATGACATAAACTGCCTATGACCAGGTAGAGCATGAACAGGCTGTCTTATGTCTAGTTGGAATTTAGGAGATGACTGTAAAAACCTAGGTGAGGGATAATGGTAGCTCGGACCATGATAATAGCACTGAAGGTGATGGGAAGTGGTTAGATTCTGGATACAATTTGAGGATAGAGACAACAGGATTTAATAATAAATTGTAACACAGGGTATGAGAGACAAGAGAGAGTCAAGAATTACTTAATTCTTAAAGCTTATAGCTAATTCTGAAACAGAAAAAAATTGTATTTAATAATTTCCATTTTATTAGCCTACTCACCCTTATATTCTAATTCAGCCCATAAAATAAATGTTTACTCTGAGTTAATAGACAAATGCTAAATTCCATTAATAATCTATGGGGCTTTTGATTAAAAAAAATTCAGTTGGTTGTAGAAGCTCCTATATTAGTATTGGAAAAAGCAAACTTAACAACAAATTTGCTAGGCATTAGTATTCTATTTCTCATGGTAATTAAATAATACTGTATGTGTCAAATGCAATATAATATTTAAAACACTCAATTATATCCCACCAGGTCCTTTCCAACAGACCATCCTACCCAAGACTGCATTCCTTCCCATCACTCTCCCAACCTACCTTTGTTTTCTGTTGGGCTTTCCCTTTAGAATTTAAGTCCCATGTGGTCAAAAACCTTGTGTATCATATTCATCACTACATCCCTAGTGCCTACAGTCGGAGCACAATAAATATTTGCTGAATCAATGAGGCAATATTTAAATATTTCCCACAGGTAACAGTAGTGAGGAGAGTACTCTGGGGATGCAGAGATGAGTGAACCTTGAGCTGAAAAAGATTACAAACCACAGAGCGAGGCAGGCAGAAGAAACTAGCTAAACATAAAATGAAACAAGAGCTATAGCAAACATTCAAGCAAAATGTCATAGAAGGACAATGAAAGGAGAAATTAATTCCAGTCCCGGAGGCTTCACTAAAGACGAAACATTCACCTAAGCTGTAAAATTAAAGTATGACATAGAAAGAAAAAAAGAAAAGGCAACTCTAAAATACCATCATAGCATGAGGGCATAAAACTCCAATTACATTTAGAGATTTGGAAACCAAGTCTATTTGGGGCATGGAAAGCATGGCTAGCAACAAACTGCATGGAGAGATGTCCTGGGTAATGGGGCTGGGAGAAGAGGCTGGGATCCTACTAATGAGTAAAACTGGATCAGGGGATACGGAAATTTGAAAGGATTTGAAATAAAACCCAAGAGGAGCATATAGATGCCATTTTCATTGATTATATTAGTAAAAAAAAAAAGAAGGTTAGAGTGTGGGGAGAATGAGGAACTTTTGTTTATGAGTATAGAGTTTGAGTTTTGCAAGGTGAAAACAGTTCTAGAGATTGTTTGCACAACAAGGTGAATGTAGTTAACACCACTAAACTGGACACTTAAAAATGATTAAGATTGCAAATTATGTTATGTATGTTTTACCACAATTTTTAGAGATGGCAAAGTACATATTTAAATTCAGAAGACCTTCAAAAATATCATTGACATTTTGGGCTACTGATGACTATAAGTCTAGAACAGTTATGTACTTACATTTTGCTTTTCATAAATATTTTTAATTTAAATAAAAGAAGGAAAAAGTAAAAACACAAATGGTGAACTTCCATTTACATTTTTTAAAAAAGGTAAAACTCAGCCAGGCCCAGTGGCTCATGCCTGTAATCCTAGCACTTTGGGAGGCTGAGACGGGTGGATCATGAGGTCAGGAGATTGAGACCATCCTGGCTAACACATCCTGGCTAACATAATATATATAGTAGAGAAACCCCATCTCTACTAAAATACAAAAAATTAGCCGGGCGTGGTGGCACATGCCTGTAGTCCCAGCTACTTGGTAGGCTGAAGAAGGAGAATCGCTTGAACCTAGGAGGTGGAGGTTGCAGTGAGCCAAGATCGCGCCCCTGTGCTCCAGCCTGGGTGACAGAGTGAGAGACTCTGTTTCAAAAAAAAAAAAAGTAAAATTATTTGAATCATGACAAAACTACTGACCTCTTTCTCCTATAATTTCTGAAACAACTAAAAATGGGAAAATGAGATAGGTAGTGAAGTGGACATTAAACTCTGCTGCTGAAAAGAAAGTGATGAAAGTTCAGGTGCTTGAGTATAAAAAGTAGTGAACTAGGAATGGGAAACCATGAATTCTGTTCCTATCTGCAGTAACTAGTCCTAGGACTACAGACAGTTACTGTCCTACAAAGAGCTCTAGTTCTGTTTGTAAAAGGAGGGGATTAGACGAAATATCTTAAGGTCTTGACCAACTTGAGCTTTGTGTATAAGGATATATAAGCAAAAAGTTTCCCAATTTCAGATGATGCAGGATTAAAAAGGATATCATTCTAACTTTAAAACGCTATGCTGTGCTTGACATTAAAAGAAAATAAAAAGGAGAAATCTTCAATTTATTAACTTGAGAGAAAATCACCGCATTTTGCACTGTCTTTATAATTTGTCTATGACTCTTCAAATAAAATGAAAACTTTCCACAACATGGCAGAATATTAAACTTCAAAGTAAAGTAAAATTGTTTTCAACTCAAAGTCATCACAAAACTAAGAATTTGTCAACATTAGGGGCTAAAATTGATAGCTTATGATATGCCCAAAATAAAAGCTGGAAAGTATTTTAAAATTAAGTCATTTAATCCACATGAAATGTATTTTGGTGTATGACGTGAGGTGATACTCTAACTTCCTTAATTTTCCCCAAACTATATATTAAATAATCTATACATCCACCATTAATTCATTGTTTCCTTGATCACATATTATTTTAAGTTCTTGTGTGCATACTGGGGTGTTTTTCTGAGTTACCTATCCTCTGCCATCAATTATAGTGAATAAGTACTACACTGTTTCACTGACCTCAATTTTGGTGACCGAATTTTTCATTTAGAATTTCTATTTGATTCTTTTTTAATATACTATTGAAGTTTCTAATAAAATTCTCCAACTTGTTATCTAATTTCTTAAACACATTGATCGTAGTTATTTTGACGTCTATGTCTGATAACTCTAATATCTGAACCAATGTAGGTGGCTCTCTGTTGTTGATCACTCCTAGCATGCCTGATAATTTTGAATGAAAGACAGACATTGTACATATTTGTAGAAATACTTTGAGGTTCTGGATGTTATCCACTACCCTTTGTGAGGAGTGAACTATTTCTGATTCCCTTTTACTCAAAGGTATAGCTTTTCAAGAGGGTCATCTGAAAGTCTGAAGTATTTACTGAAATCCCTTTCCCTGGTGGGCCCTTAACCATATGAAATTGCCAAAAGCTCTACTCCACTGAAATGACCATGATTATAATGAACTAGTAGACTAATTTAGGAGGTACTCACATTTTTGTAACAGTCTTTTTATCCAAGGATATGGTATAGCCCATCATTTATTCAAATCTTATATTTCTCTTCAAAATTATCTAGGTCTTTTTTCTTTTCCATGTAGGCCCACTTATTTCTTAAAAGGAATAGAAAAATGCCTAGCTACATCCTGGAATGGAAGGGATATTTAAGTATAAAATCAAAAGTAGATTTCTGGTTAATATGACCAAGATATATATTTAACTCCTGTTTTTCCTAAAATCCCTCGAATAATAGTGGAAAAAAATGTTTAAGGTATAAACCCACTAAGGTATAAATCCATTAGGACAAAGAGAACAGGAAAGAGCCTCAGGACCCTGAGACCCAGACACTGCTGGGATTCACGGACATTCCACGTAGGAAGACTGGGTCCAAAAGTTCCTTTCCATTCCCTGAACACTTAGGGAGTTACTATCTGCTTTCAGCTCCCTGATTTTTGAGAGACAAAAGGCTTTTTCTCTGGTTAAAACCACTGTACTCAAGAGTATAAGGCATAGTGGAGAGCAGGAGATACAAGGATTAAACAGTGGATTTGGTTGAAGACTGCATACTTCACAGTGGGATCCCTGGTTTCCTTCCTTCACCCTGCTCTCAGGATATGGAAACAAAGTGTATGCCCTTTGGTCATGATGTTAGAGATGTACTTTCTGGGTAGACTGAAAAGCCTTAGAGAAAAGAATTCCAGATATTGGCATCTGAGGCTTTCTACAACAAAAAGGAGCTTTTGCCATCAGATCACCTTGTAAGTGAATTCATCAAGAATCTTTCTCCTAAACACAGGAAGAAACATTAAAAAAAAAAAAAAGCTCAATATCACTAAGCATCAGAGAAATGCAAATCAAAGCCACAATGAGGTTGGGTGCAGTGGCTTATGCCTGTAATCCTAGCACTTCGGGAGGCAGAGGCAGGAGGATCACTTGAGCCCAGGAGTTTGAGACCAGCCTGGGCAACACAGCAAGACCCTGTCTCTACAAAAAACTAAAAAATTAGTCAGGCATGGCGGCATGTACCTGTAGTCCCAGCTACTTGGGAGGCTGAGGTGGGAGGGTCCCTTGAGCTTGGGTGGTTGAGGGAACAGTGAGCTGTGCACTCTACTGCACTCCAGCCTGGGTGACAGAGTGAGACCCTGTCTCACAAACAAACCAACAAACAAAGAAATACACACAAAAAAAAACAACTCACAGTGAGACACCATCTCACACTAGTCAGAATGGCTAGTATTAAAAAGTCAAAAGACAATAGATGCTGGTGAGGCTGTAGAGAAAAGGGAATGCTTATACACTGTTTGGTGGGAATGTCAATTAGTTTAGCCACTGTGGAAAACAGTTTGGAGATTTCTCAGAGAACTTAAAACAGAACTACCATTCAACCCAGCGAATCCTAATACTGGGGCAGTATTAAAAAAAAAAAAAAAAAAGACCACTAGAGCAGGGAGGGAGGAAGGAGGGCAACGAATGAAAAACTATTGGGAACTGTGCTTAGAACCTGGATGATGAGACCACTTACACCCCAAATCTCAGCATCATGCATATACCCAGGTATATGTATCCCGCTGAATCAAAAACAAAAGCTGAAATAGTAACAAAAGAAAAAGAGAATCTTTGTACCCAAGCACACAGCTTCCTATGAACTTTTTACTTCTTCACTTTTAAAAATTAATAAATAGCTAAAGAATACTGGACATCTGACAAATACCTCCAACATGAAAGACTGAGGGAAAAACCCCTGAAAGTCATAATGCAGAGGAAAGGAAAATTGAAGAAGAAAAAAAAACCTCTAGGTTATATCCTCAGAAAAGATAAAATATGATATCCATGAAATATCCATAGGACGGGATACTACGAAAAATGAAAATTTAAAACATGATAGCCAACATGCAAAACTCAATAGAAGAACTGCAATATAAAAATCAAAGAAACTGCCTCAGGAGGCGTTACAAAAAGACAAAGCAACAGAAAATAAAGGAAAAAAGATAAATGCCTAGGTGAAAATGAAGTATGCAAAATACAATCACCAGTGAATGAGTATGCAAACATGCCATTTATAACACTATATAGGTCTTTCTTTATAAACTTTCCTCTTTCTTATTTAATATTGAGCACCTACTATGTGAAAGACCCCATGGAATAATCATTATTATTTTACAGAAATAAATTATATAAGCCTATATAATAGACCGCAATCTTAGTAGTTAAAGGTCATGAAAGCATGTTGAAGAATAGAAGTATGTTTGCGTCTGGATGATTTTGTAGAGCTGCCCTTAAAGTCTGGTAAGACCTCAAAGCCCAGTAACCCTGAAAGAAGGAAGGATATTCCAGGCAGAGAAAATGGTGTGAGCAGAGGGACAGAACCCCACAAAATTCAAGACACAGTAATTATTGTATTGGCTGAAGCACAAAGAGTGTTTAGTAGGAGAGAACTGTGGACAGAGAGGCTGTTATGACCAGCAGTGAACCAAAGAATGTTTCTGTAATTTAGGAGCTGTGAAGATAATGCTGTGAAGTTCTGAACAGAACAAGGTTTATTCCCAGGTTGGATGTTAGTATAAAGCAGGAAAAAGAGCACTGGACCAACAGTCAGCCAGTCTGCCCCTAAAAGCCCAAGGTTATAAAGCAGGTCACTTCACCACTATGGACCTAGCTTTTAGAGATGAGCTACTGAAGTTAAAATTCTGCACAGGAAATCGCTGCAAGTGTTTAAGCATCTGACTTCGTGGGATCAGATAACCTGGAAAGGTGACAATAGGAATAGGAAGATAGGTAGAGAATAAAACCTTAAGACAAAAACCTTAAATAGAACATATATTAAGAAACATAGCTGTATTGTAGATTAACTGTCCTGAAAATAGAAGCATACTGAAAATCAGAAGGCTACCTGTAGACGATCCACATGAACTTTGACTCCTCCAATTATTCCTTTTTTAAGGGCTGCCAGCATATCTAATATGGGGTTGAACCGGCTACCTCTAAAAAATATAAATAAACAAAATGTACAGATTAACATCAGAATGGTGAATTAATAATCTAATACTAAGTGCCCCTTATATATACAAAGTATTCTACCACCTACTAAGAAGTATACAAAAAAATCCAAGGAGGCCTTTCTTCCCAAGGGCTCACTGCGTTCATGGCAGTGAGACACTTGCACCTTACTTCTTGTATCAACCTACCTTATATTGTCTTCCCGGATGAGAACAAGGAAAAGTGGACGTCCGTGCATTTTCCAATATTGTTTAATGAACTGCAGTGCATTCTGTCAAAACAGAATGACACAGTATCTAAGACGAACAGGATGCTCAACCATGAGTGCCAAAGAGCCAACAAAATTCTTATGTAGCAAGACAGTTCACAATCCAACCCTGAATAACTTAGACTACTTAGGTGTAGAAGTGCTCTAGCAGGTTCTCTGGGTACATGCAAGTTACGCTGAACACCACTTGGAGTTCAATGATTTCAAACTTCATTCTTAAAAGTAATCACACTACATTTGTTTTAATGGTTTTTTTCCCCTCTTTAAAAAAATTTTAATCTATTTATCTGTTTATTTATTTAGAGACTGCCAAGGCTGGTCTAGAATTCCTGGGCTCAAGTGATCCACCTGCCTCAGCCTCCCAAAGTGCTGGGATTACAGGTATGAGCCAACGTGCTTGGCCTCCTTTTTTTAAAAAGCCTAAAATATACAGTTCAAGAATGGCCTCAGGGGGAACAATCATGCCAGCCATTCAGAAGATTAACTCACTTCATATTACTAGGGATTTATATTACAGCAGGTGGAGAAGACTGGACTGAATTTATACAGACCATTAGCAATGTAGAGGGAGTTCTTTATTTGACTAATTATCTATCTATCTATCTATCTATCTATCTATCTATCTGTCAATCAATCAGTCATCTCAAAGACTTAAATATAATCATCATCATCACATCAAAAACTTATATAATACTTCACCATATGCCAGGCACTATTCTTAGTACCTTAAATATATTAACTCATTTAATCCTCAGAACACCCCTTAATTATTATTCAGTTTTACAGATAGGAAAACGAGGCACAGAGGAGTTAAGTAACTTGCCCAAGAACACACAGCTGGCAAGTGGCATAGCCAAGATTTTAACGAATGCAGTCTGGCTCCAGATTTCATGCTTTAAATCATGATTCTAACCTTCTCTGCTCTGTAAGTAGAAAAGGGAGTGAAGATTTTAACTCATGGAGTTATGAGTTAGTTGAGGTTTTACTCGATATTCTTCATGAATAAAATTATTTTGCTAATTTACCTTTTGTTCAAAAAGAGATAAACTGTCATATGAACATATTTTTCAAAATAGGTCCCCCTGTTTTTCTGAATTGTATCTTTTCATTTCATTTGTAGAAAGGCACAATGAGCAGTCATACAACTGTATATAAGACAGAGGTTATCTATTATGCCAGTGCTGCAAGTAATTTACACTCTCCAAAGCTATGCAGGTGGTTTTACTGTCATGCTTTACACTGTGTTAACCTAGTATCACAGATATCTGGGAGTACTCAATATAGTAACATATGATAAAATCAGTGGAAACAAAGTCATTCCATTTTTAAGAAAGGTGTTCCGAAGCTACCTTTATGTCATCTATCAGCAGGAAAACATCCTGAGACATGTAGAAATCACTTAGGTCGAAAATAATCGGGTAACAAACCACAGTCTTTCCTAAAATGCGATAAATCTGTAAGGGAAAAAGTTTTAAAACAAATAACTAAAGAACATACCAAAGGCAAAGGTGCAGTACTATAAGTCTCAATAAAAATAAAAACTGATGTTTAATTCTGAATAAGCACATAAATTAATAGCTTATGACATCCATATAATATTTAAAAATTTTAGTTTCTTGATTGAATCAGTATACTAATAAACTTAAAGCAGTCTACCTCAAATATGATAGAAAAAGTCTGTGAGTAAATATCATTATAATTAGATATTTTACAAAGCTTAGATAAGACTTCCAGGATATTACGCAAAATAAGATTTACTAGCAGAAAATAATACTTCAGATAAGTAGTCTGAGTACATAATGAAAATGAAAAAGGATGCATAGCAGGTCAAACACCATTTCAGTATGTGGTATTAGAATCCAAAAACTACTTTTTGAGGACATTTCATGAGTACCTTTGATGTACCGAGGCAGCCAATGGGCCTATCTGGCCTTCCGGAGAGTCCTAACTTTTCGTTGATACCCAGGTGGAAATAAGCCTGTAAAACACAAGTTTGTAAGTTAGAGTCAGGTAAGAATCCACGTCACTTTCTTGCCCCTGAGTATTGCCCTGTTAATTTTTGATCTTTCCAGAGAGAAAGAAGCTAGGGAACCCTAATCCAAAAACTTGTAGGAAGACAAGCTAGCCAAAGATGTTAGCTTAGATTTTGGATTACTGAGAGATTTGAGAGCAAAACTTTTGCAGATCTACTTAGCAACATTCTTAAATTTGATATTGTTCTTACACTGCTATAAATGTACAACGTGCATGGCTCTGATTCGTAAAAGAACACAAAGAGGCTAAGGCTTCCTGTATCATTAAAAAAATCTAATTGTTTAACATTTTAAAAACTAGGCCCATAATCTCCTACTAAATTTCCACCTTCAAGTATTTCCCACCAAAATGAAAATGTCTTCATTAATTTTTTCTGATTATATACATTTTATGAAATATTCAAACCATACACTCAAAGTGAATGTTCCTGTTTATTTTCACAATCCCTTTTGCAACAACTATTTCTCTGGTATATGCTGAAAGGAGTATAGTTTATTGTATGATCCCTAAGGGGCACCAAGAGTATAGATAGGGTTAAAGACTCTTAAAAGTACATCAATAAATATATACTCATATTATACATATGTCAATATGTGTGTATATTTCCATAAATGGGTTAATATAACATATATTCTGCGTCCCATTTTTTAAACTTAATATTGTGGTATTCCAGTTTCAAGATGTTAAAATGGGCCAGGTGCGGTGGCTAGCGCCTGTAATCCCAGCATTTTGGGAGGCTGAGGTGGGCAGATCACGAGGTCAGGAGATCGAGACCATCCTGGCTAACACGGTGAAACCCCATCTCTACTAAAAATATAAAAAATTAGCTGGGCATGGCGGCGGGTGCCTAGTAGTCCCAGCTACTAGGGAGGCTGAGGCAGGAGAATGGCGCGAACCCAGGAGGTGGAGCTTGCAGTGAGCTGAGATCGTGCCACTGCACTCCAGCCTGGGCGACAGAGCAAGACTCCGTCTCAAACAAACAAACAAACAAACAAACAAACAAAAAAGATGTTAAAATGAGTCTATACTTTTTCTGTACATTTCTATGTTGAAATGATTGAAGAAATATTAAAATTGAGGGGGAAAGCTGGCCACAGTGGCTCATGCCTGTAATCCCAGCACTTTGGGAGGCTGAGGCGGGTGGATCACCTGAGGTCAGGAGTTCAAGACCTGCCTGGCTGACATGGTAAAACCCAGTCTCTACTAATAATACAAAAATTAGCTGCGTGTGGTAGCACACGCCTATAATCCTAGCTACTAGGGAGGCTGAGGCAGAAGAATTGCCTGAACCCAGGAGGCAGAGGTTGCAGTGAACCGAGATGGTGCCACTGCACTCCAGTCTGGGTGACAAGAGTGAAACTCCATCTCAAAAATAAATACATAAATAAATAAAAACTGAGGGGGAAAAGTCTGCAGAAGTATTACAAAATAGGGAAGGGTGACACAGTGGAACAGAAACTTCTAGAATTTCTAGAAGGTTAAAAACAGTCTTGGAATGAATTAAGAGTTAATCAGTGTCAGAGCAGAGCACTTAATCTAATCAAGAAGCCCCTTTACCTTTTTTAACTCCTATCTCCTGATAAAGGTAGCTCCCATTTTTTTTGTTATTTTAAAAATAATTCAATAAACATCTTTGGACAGTGTGTCATTATATCTGCAGGATAATTTCCTAGACTTGCTGGATCAAAGAGAATACATTATCTTTGAAATATAATGTGAGGTTGGTCACCCTCTAGAAATAATGTACCAATTTATACTGGTATTAACTGTGTACAGGCCTTGCCACCTTCTTGGGTCAAAATAATATTTTGTTTTTTCTTTTAAACTACTATATTAAAATATTTTGTGGTTCAGCATTTTCTAATATATTTAATGACTATTTGTATGTTTTGTAACTTTTTTCATTTGTTCCCTTTTCTATGGGGGAATTTGGCATCCTTTTTTGTTTTAAGAAATCTTGGTATATTAAGAGTATTGCCCCTTAAATGAAATACTTTGCCCGGTTTGCTCCTCTTCAGTGTTGTTATGAAACGTGAGAATGACTGCACAGTAGGTGGAATCTCATTTCAACATGTGGTATTTCAATATAAACATTTTTCTACTAGGAAATTTCACAAGCACCTTTGATATGCCAGGCTGTTTGCTATATTTAGTTATACAGTATTTGTCAATCATTTCCTCAATGGATTTTTGGCATTGGTATCATTCTAAAAATGGACTTCCCCTCCCAACAGCTAAAACATATTCTCCTATTTTTTATTCTAGTGCTTTTATATTTAAAAAATTTTTAAAGTTTTCAATTTTTGATCTGTCTGCAATTTATTTTTACATTTAATGAGAGAAATAAATCTAACCGATATTTTCCTAAATGGAAAATTAAACCAACTATCTCTACACAATCTAGTGATTGTGATTTGGACCAATTTCACATAATAACTTCATTGTATACAAAATTAGTGGTGTTGCCAGAGCTCTCTGTTCACTGACATAGTGCACACATCTATGTGAGAGTTGGGTTTGTATCTCTTTCTCCTTTCGACTTGTACATTCCTGTAGAACAGCAGCCCAAGTTGGCACTGTGCCTAGTATGTAGCTGGTGCTCAGGAAATACTTGATAGATGAATGAGGGAGCAACTGAATATTCTCCTGAGCCACACGTGCTGTGAATATTGATTCTGGAATAGCAGTGATTTTAGACAAAGTCAACTGGCCAGAAACGGTGCTTTATAAGCATTATGTTGATAGCTGCACTGAAACCAGAGCACATAACACTAGATGCAGCCCCCTTTACCTCATATATTAATAGTTTCAAATTTTCAGAAATATATGTATAGTAAAATGTGTTGATCTAGGTGGGTTTCCTTTAAATACTACTCTTTGTTACAGTAAAAGGATTCTCCTTAACTTTCTGAACCATGGTACGGCAGGTCTGTGACTATTTAGTGCTCCCCACATTCCAGGTTGCATATAACACTGCCCCCATGTTGTACACATTCATAACATTTAGTGCACCGAAAGACATAGTAGTGACCAAATTACCCAGAAATACAGAAGTACTTCATACTAGGTCTGTACCATAGAGCAGATTTCTGTATTCCGATCCCCATGAAGCAAATCACACTACAGTCATCACATCATGAATATTAACCACATGCTGTGTAAAAACCCTGCTCTCAGCTGTCTGCCTTCACATCCTCTTCAGTGGGCTGAGGGAGGGAGTGGCTTCTCAGAAGAAAGGGAGCAACCGCTAGCATAAGAATATGTGCATCAGCTAAGATTTGAGGGAACACCTTTACTTTGAAAAGGCAGACTTATAAGGAGCAGAATACTAGGCAATATATCTTAGAGGATGAATTCCAAAGAGTAGCTACTTAGGAACACAGACGCTACAGCTACAACCAAAAAACAATCTTCCATCTCAACACATGCACAGGAAGGTCGGCTCTTGCTCACAAGTCTGTCTTTTTAGCCATACGACACCAAAATTGCAAGTCATTTGTTAACACCATCTTTAAAACAAGATATAAAATAAGCCAGGAACTGTTTTAAGTCTTCACTTGCTCTGTAACAGAAGGCCTTCTACTGCCTCTGATTCCACAAGCACTTTGTATGAACATCTATTATAACAGTTATCAAAGTGAACCGTAATTCACTGTTTTTTTTCTGTCAAACCAGTAAACTCAGAGGTCACTGAGAACAGGGACAAAGTCATTTCATCTGAGTGTCCTACACAGTGCTCTGCATATAGCATGTGTTTGTTGCTGAATGAATAAATATCACATTCAAGTTATTTGCTCTCCATGTTAGCCTTTTAAATCTTGATTGCATGTTGTCTGGTAGGATATAAACTCACCTACTATTAAAATAAGTTGCTAATATTTATTAGACTAGAAAAAACAGATTTGGGTTAATTTGTTTTAAGAGTATGTTTATCAAAGAATAAGCTTTGCTGGCGTTCTCTAGAGCTTTCAGCAGGAGAGCATAAAAGTGTATTAGCAGCCGACAGCCTGCAGCTAAATACTAAGAGCACAGCGTGGGAGCCTTAGATTTTGGCATCCTTCCCTCTCCTTCCATGTTGTTTCCAATCCTTGCCTTGTAACATTATGTACATCTGGGTACCAGTTTAAATTGTTACCTACTCTAGGGATCCTTGTATTTTCAGCTTTATCTCTTGGCAGGGTGGCGGTGGTTAAATTTATTAGAGAAGGTGTAAGGACTCTCCAAGAGCTGGTGCTCTTGGCGACCTGACACCCAGGTTCTGGTTTGTGTTGCCTAATGTCAAGATCCAGCCCTGATACCAGAGTCCTGCATTTTCTCATGTAATATGTACCTTTCTTCTCTAAGCCTTCATTTTTGTGTCATAGCAACAAGACTTTGACTACAACCATTTATGTTAAGCTAATAAACTTAATCATGTCCTCTTGAGATATACTGTTATAAAGACTTCTACTACACACTGAGCAGTTTGTTCTTATGTTGTTTTTAACAATTACTAAATAAAAATGGCAGTTTATAAATAAGTAGTCGGTGGGAGTCAACAATATCCTGTCTCTAATGAGCAAGAATATTCACGAGCATAGGCAATAACAGATCCATCTACAGAGCAGTGCATGCAAAAGGCCTCAAACGTTATCTTTTAATTCCATCCCAAATACGTATGGAACTACATCAATGATACATACAGATGTTACTTTTACTTTATAATTGCTTTGAGACCCAGCAAACCAAAGGGGCTGAAATTACTTCAGACACCAAACAGGAAGGCAAGAGAAAAAAGGAAAGTAGTAAATATCAAAAATATTTAGGTATGAGAAGGTTTTCTTTTAAACAAACCTTCTCACATCTAAATATTTTTTGATAATCAAAGACGAAAAAATCAAAGATAAAAGGAAAAAATCAAATCAAAATGTAAAAATACGTTTTGATAAAAGAGAAAAAAATCAAATCAAAATATAAGATAATTTTATTTCTATTAAAATTAAGACTAACTTGTTGTTTAACTGCTCATCCTAGGTTAGTAATAGAGTTCAGAAAGAAGTAGAAATCAACAAGACCTATAAACATAATGTATACACACACACAGAGTGCAAAGTTTTTTTTAGTAACAATGTCCACTAAAGTGGAATTCTCAATTTAATTAGAAGCTTTTGGATTACTGGTCTTATATCAGAATCAGATTTTAACTGTGTGACTTGTCTGTAAACTAAGTCCAGCCATCAAGCTCTAGTACCTCTACAAAGTAAGGAAAGTAAAAGGCAGAATCACTTACTTTCACAAGCTCTTGCTGAGGCCATATCTGAATGGGTTCTACTTGTTGAGGAGTTTGAGTTTGAATACCATATGTGTTCAGAAAAACTTGAAGTCTAAAGATCATAGGGAAAAAAAGAGATGTTTTTAGAAAACACATTTACAGTTTAGGAAGCAGTGAAGGAGGAGGATAAAAGGGAACATGCTAACTTGGAGGGCATTATTAATTTGTTAGTATTAGCAATTTGCCATCTGCACTAGACTTCAGAGGCCCTTATGGATCCTCCACGAAGCATCAGATGGAAACATGAGGGGCTGGCAGGGAGGATAAGCACTGATTTTGGTAATCCCATGTGTTTGCACGAATTTCTCAAAACTACAACCCAGGCAACACTGGCACTGGTCACAGTCTTTAATATTCACAACTAAAACAAAATTATTTTTAAACATGAAAAGAATAATATGTTGGCCATTTAAAGTGACATTAATGATATCCCTGAAAGCCTGTAAAGGAGTTTCCGAAGTTAGTATCTTCTACCATACTCGATATTGTAAACATAAAGCAATCATTTCCCCTTCCCTCCCCACAAAAAAACACACCACCCACTTGGATTTCATACCTTTGGCTTTCTGCTATAAGTGCCACATGAACTACCAAATCATTTTCCAGTGGGCCCTGTAATGTAGAATAAGGGAGGGGGAAAACATTTTAAAAGATCTGGTCATCATCAGCTACAATGAGAATCAAGGACAATATTAACCATCTCTAAGCAGTTCATTAAAATGATGGGCACTAGCTGGCTCTCAGCGGCCACCTTTCTTTCCTTGCTCGCCACTGCCTACTAATCAATTTGATGGTATAGACAGAGTAATGGAACACCAAGGAATGGAAAGCCGTAAACCTCATCACTACCACAGGGGCTAGCCTGTCAGGGCTATTTTGAATGATGCATAAGAGTAGTTTGGGGACCGAGAGTCATTTTCCATCATTTAACTCTAAAGGGAAGAGGAGGAACTAAAAATAAAAACCCAATTTATGTATTCTCTGTAAAAAAAAAAAAAAAAGACCGTGAGTTAAAATTGTTCATCTGACATCTTAACCACATATGAGGTTATTCCCTTTCTTGTTAGCCAATTTTCCTTTGGCACCTTCTACATCTAAATAGCTTTATTCTAATAGATAATTCTTATAATAGATCATGAACTACCCAGTTGACTATTAATTAACATTATGTTCATTAAATACAAGCTGTTGGACTTAATAGTTCTAATCAAAGGTAGTGTTGGATATTTGCTACTCATTTTTTTGTGTGATAAAGATTCACTATAACATGTATTATACATGTTAAATTGAACCCAATTTTGGAACCTGTATATAATTAACAGAGAACATTAAGAAGCACCAATAAATTGTAGTATTAGGGAGCTCTGAAAATACTGATCAAACATAACTCTTTTATAGTAATGAATCCAACAGTCCCAATAATATGCTGTAAAACATTTGATTTATCATCAATCAGTTCCTCTCTATGGTATTCAATATGCCACTGAAATTTATGTATGATAGAAGGCAAGAAACACCGGCATACATATATCAGCAGTAAATACCATACAATCAAAGGGATGGTTCCCAGAATCATCGTGAAAGTGCCATTTCAGGCAGACTTTCATTTGATTTAAATGAATGTGTAAGAGAAAATGTGATTCAACAATCCAACAAAAACAAATTCCCATTTAAAATTTTATAAATTCTGTTTTTACTTGATAAAGACCTTACAATTAAATGTTTCTCAAAAGGATGAGAAAAAATTTAAGTTTTCAAAGCCTCATCAAGATTTCTAATACCAAATGAAAAAATTAAGCTCTCTTTCTCTTGGATGAGATCTAGTATTTACTGCTTTAAAAGGAAGAGTAACCTTAGAATAGGCCATTATGTACAATCTTCAGGACAGTTATGGGATTCTTAAATAAAAAGCAAATGAAAACATACTAGAATACAGATGATATTTCAATAACAATAAATAAGGCAACTTATAGATTGTAATTGGCAAACTGGAATCTTCTTTTTGAATCATAGGTCTGTTTAGGATATTGTTTCCACTTGTGTAACAGAGTACTCAGATCTAAAATGGTCACTATACATGTTGAATCATACTGAGCATCTAGTTACGGCACTATTAGAGGGCTGAAGAGCTCTTTCATTGTAAAAACTAAGCATTTCAGATAGTCTGGTTCACAAACCATCTACCACAATGAGCCTGGACTTAGAACTGCAGCCCAAGTGGGACTCTTTGCCCCATTCACCACTGAGAGAAAGAATTCAACTCGGACAGCCCCACTCCTAAAACTCTTCCTTTCACTGCCAAAGTTGAAACCATCTGTTCTGTTTTTACCATTTTCCTCAAACCACCACCATTGGTTTCTTTGTTTGTTTGTTTGTTTGTTTCAGACAGGTTTTCACTCTGTTGCCCAGGCTGGATTGTAGTGGTGTGATCCTGGCTCACTGCAGCCTAGACCTCCTGGGCTCAGGTGATCCTCCTGCCTCAGCCTCCCAAGTAGCTGGGACTACAGGTGAGCACCACCACACCTGACTAATTTTTATATATATTTTTTAGAGACAGATTTCACCGTATTGCCAAGGCTGTTCCTGAACTCCTGGGCTCAAGTGATCTGCCCACATTGACCTCCCAAAGGGTTGGGATTAGAGGTGTGAGCCACTGCATCCAGCAAACCACCACCACTGTTGTTCAAAACCCATGAAGTCTCTTTGACAATTTCCTAATAGTAATTAAAACCTTCTTTTCTGAATGGCATTTTTCCTAATAATATTGTAATACTTTCTGCTCATAGGTCACAGACGAACACACACACACACACATATATACACATACTCAAGCCCTGTGTGGTACTAGTAATCTTCATTTTACAGACATTTGTTGACTCATTCATCTGACCAAGAGGACACTAATCCACAGGACTCCATGTTAGAATATGAATATGATCCAATATCTCTCCCTGAGGAGTTCAGTCTACTAGGAGAGAAGGATAACAGATACGTTTTCACACACTTTTACTATCACATAAAAGTATTTTACTGGTATCTTTCTTTGGCAGATCTACCTCATTAAAAAAAAAGTGACTGTAGGACATGACATTCTGTGGATATACCATACTTTATTTTTAAAATGTTTATGTTGATGGACATTTAAATGGTTTCCAATTTTTCATTTCTACAGAGAATATAATAATTGTCCCTATCTCAGAAAACTGCTGAAGATTTAGGGAGAGAACAAAGTGCTAAGCACAGTATTTCACACAAAAACACTCAATAAAGGGCACTAATTCTTGCTGTAGTTGCACATTTGCTTATTGTTATCTTCACACCTATCCTTGGACAGCTGCTGCCCTCCTCCTTGTCTAGATTTGCTATAACGCCTATGTTGCCCTAGATCCCATTGGCTTCCACCATTCTAAGACATTTGGATTATCCATCATCCTATTTTTTTATATGGCTAGTTCTTCCCCAAATGATTCTGAATGTCTTTTTAAAGACATCCTCAGGCAACTTAACACCTTCTTTAATGCTATGGTCTGAATGTGTATGTTCCTCCTGAAATTCAGGTTGAAATTTTAACCCCAAGGTGATGGTATTGGCAAGGGATAAGGGGCTGGGGAATGGAGAGGGGTGCTTTGGGAGGTAATTAGGTCATGAGGGCAGAACCTTCATGAGCATGACTGGTATCCTTATAAAACAGGCCCTGCACCCTTTCCATCATGTGAGGACACAGGGAGAAGGCACCATTTATGAACCAGAGAGCAGGCCCGCACCAAGACACTCAATCTACCAGCACCATGGTCTTGGATCACCCAGCTTTTAGAACTGCGAGAAATAAATTTCTGATGTTGATATGCTACCCAGTTTATTGGTATTTTGTTATAGCAACCTGAACAAACTAAGACACTTAGCTACTACCCATTTTTTTTTCCTTTCATTTCTCAAACATAAGACTATAACTATGTCCTTACCTTTCTTGCCTCTGAACTTCTGCCCTCTACAATCTATCCTGCCCTGTCTTTGGAGATATATAATCCTAACACAAGTCTATGGTCACATATTCATTCTATTCATTCTCTTTCTCAAATCTCATCCACTCTAGTGGCTTTAAGCTATTATCTCTAAGTGTCATAGGATCCTTGGGGTGTCACTTTGCCAGCCAGAAACCTCTGTGGCCAGTGGAGCCTTCTACTTGAATATTGTCCACACCAACTGGGCTCGTTCCACCCACGTGGCCTGGTAGGCTGTGCTCAGCTTGCACTACCAGCCTGGATCCCACACTTGCCAAGGGTGAGCCAGGCGTGGGGTAGTGAGGGGTATGTGGGTGAGCAATGTAGTGAGCCGGGCAGAGTGGGGCGGTGCATGTTTCAGCCTTGTTTATATTACAGCTCTTTCAGTCCTGTCATTTGGTGTGTCCCAAGTTCTTGTCCCATGTCCAGGAAGAATGAGGTACACAGACAACTAGAGGGTGAGCAAGGCAGAAAGGAGCTTTATTGAGTGACAGAATAGCTCTCAGTAGACCCAAAGTGGGTAGCTCCTTTCTGCATGCAGGTCATCCCAATGAGTCAAGTAGACCTGAAGACCTGAAGTGGGTAGCTCTTTCCTGCAGCTGGTAGTCCCTAAGTCTGGCTGAGTCTGGGGGTTTTTACGGGCTCAGAAGGGAGGAAGTGCATGCTGATTGGTCCATGGGTGGCCATGGGTGGGCTTGGAAAAAGCACAAGTTCTCACTCTGGGCTGCAGACTCCACCCAGGGGTGGCAAACTGGCCCTCAGGCTTCAGGTAATCCCTGGTTTGAAGGTAGGGTTTCACCAGGGACCTGCCACACCTGCTGCCCAGGAGCCTGTTTGCTTCCTACCATCATCAACATGCTGTCCAGGGTGCCCAGGCTGTTTGTGCCAAGGGGTACCTGCAGGCCCACGACAAGCTGCCCTTAGCCCCACCGGCTTCCCTTCTGTGCTCAAAGCCCAGAGGGGGCTGAGGCAGCAGAGGGTTGGCATGTCAATGCTGCCCTGAGCATGTGCACACCCAGCTGTGTTGCATCAGCACCCAGGCTCAGTCACAACTTTGTTCCGTACTGCAGCAGGTGCCGGGTGTGGGGAGAGGCCAGGGAACGGGAGCAGGCACTTCTGAGCCCCTATGAGTACAAGGATGCCTGGGTCTGGATCTGCGGCTGGACAGCTGCAGGTGCACCTGAGAGCATGGGGCTCCTGCCCCACCAACTCAGTAGGGAGTGGGGCTCCTGCCTGCTCCCGGCCCCCTCTGGCTCCATGGAGTGTGCAGCTCTGGCCACACTGTAGCTGGTGTCCCTGCAGTGGCTGCTCTAGACAGGTTGCCGCCGCTATTATAAGCAGATGTTTCCATGTTTATATTTCTAGTCTTGACCTTTCTCTTAAGTTCTAGTTCCCACATTTTAACTGTTTTCCCACATTTTAACTGTTTTCCCACATTTAACTAGTTCCCACATTTTAACTAGTTCCCACATTTAAACTGTTTTCCGGACATTTTCTCTTGGCTATTTCCAAAGTTAATAGATCTAAAACTCGACTCCTCATCATCAACCCCACCTCCATCCCAAATAGGTTCTTATTCTTTAATCCTCATTCAATGGGTCACTCTAGCTC